AACACTAAGAAGCTGCCACAGGACCTGGCCAAGGCGTTGGGATACAGGGACATCTACCTCTACCTTAAGGAACTGGGCAGTCTAAGATATAAAGTTGTGAGTAGTAACTTGTTTGGATATAATTTCATATTTAATGCAATTATTATTATTAGTAGTAGAAGTAGTACTAGTAATAATAGTAGCAGTAGAGGTGGTGGTAGTAATATTTTTAGCTTTGTTAATACTGGTAATATCGTAGATATTATACCAAGTAAGGGTAGATCATTTGTAAGTTAGAGTATCTATGCTTCTGATATTTGCTCCTACGAAAGAAATGATAATAGTAATATCGGAGTTATTAATAAGAGAACCTTCCGTCAGTGGCCCTTCGGGAAGTCTTACTCAAGTCTTTCAAGAGCGTCCTCCAGAGGCAAGGTTCGACACAGAGCGGACACCCAGAACTCTCGGTCAGCGGCACGCATATGGACGGACGACACCAGCAGAGACCGCTCAGGTGCGAGTCACTCAGATGCCAAGGTGAAGCCGTTCAGCCCGACCACACGAGTGGAGTCAAAGAACGGACGATTGAATCCGACACCGAGGGACGGACGAGTGGATCCCACATCGAGGGACGAACGAGTGGACAAACGAGACGTTGAACTATCGACTCCTTTATTAACGGAACCTTCAGCCGAGATGAAACCGTGCAGCAGCCAAGTAAGGAACATAAATGAGTCAAAATACTTTTTTTTTTAATCCCTGGACTTGCTGAATATATATCTATTTATACCTACGTGACTGGAAACCATTGATATTTATCCTCCGGGACGCTGACGGATGATTTAGTCCTCCTTCCTATTATTTTCTACATCTTAAGTTTAATATCTTTATTATGTACCCCATACCCATCCTGTGGGTGGTAGTCAAAAGATTACAAAGGTACATAATGGGTCCAGGGACTGGAACATCATACATGTCTAGAGATACAGAGAGTGTTGGCATGGTCTCCCGCGGCGCATAAGTAATGATTAGAGTGAAAAATGTTGTTGAGCGGTCGTTAGTTAAAAATAAATCCATAAATAATAATGGGATAAAGAAAATGATCACATTTATTTCATTCTGGAACAAGGTGTTGAGGAGATAGTGTCCTTCTCGGTGTATTTTATGACTTATTCTCTCTTACTGTCTCCCATTTCTTCCCATTGTTTACCAGGTGACGAAGGAGGAACGAAGGAGACTGCAAGAGGATAGAGACACCGATATTTCTTGCCTCTCCAAACAGCTGAACCTCGTCCTCCAACGCTTGGGCCAGGTTACGCAACAACTGGACCAGATAAGGCAGCGTCTGGACCACACCCAGATAAGCCAGATAAGCCAGCACCTGGCAGACACCCAGCATATGCTGGGCCAAACTAACCAACGACTGGACCAAACTAACCAACGATTGGACCAAACTAACCAACGACTGGACCAAACTAACCGACGACTGGACCAAACTAACCAGCGACTTGGCGAAACTGACCAACGGCTAGACCAAACCTGGCAGAAGCTGGAAGAAGTCAGGTCTCAGCAGAGAGACCTAGGTGGAAGACAGCAGTTCCTGATCCACAGGGCTCCCCGGGAACACCTGTCAACGTTCGATACTGACCAAAAACAGATGACAACGTTCGGTACCAACCAAAAACAGATGACAACGTTCGGTACAGGCCAGAAACAGATGACAACGTTCGGTACTGACCAGAAACGGATGACAGCGTTCGGTACCGACCAGAAACCGATGACAACGTCTGCTACCAACAAGGAACGGCTGATACAAATTGATGTGAAGAAGGACCAGCAGGAATGTTCCCAAGGAGAGACAACTTCCACGGAAGATTCCGATTCTGAGGTATAATTTCTGCTTTACAATGTTCAGAATTTGTATACATCCTGAGTACAGTTGAGAGAGAGAGAGAGAGAGAGAGAGAGAGAGAGAGAGAGAGAGAGAGAGAGAGAGAGAGAGAGAGAGAGAGAAGAGTTGTATTTTCAGTGAAATGCATGGATTCGATCCTAGATTTAACATACGCGCTAGATTCTCCCCTCAGAGGTTCCTTGACGCTGGTGAGGGGCTCTTGATCTAGGGAATTGGATCTGTGCTCCAGTTCCCTGAATTAAGCCTTGAATGCCATTCACACACCCCCACAGGCGCTGTATAATCCTACGGGTTTAGCGCGTCCCCTTGATTACAATAATAATGCGCTAGATTTTAGTGCATATTACAAGTTTTCTAAAAAAGAAAAAAAAAAACTTCAATTGGGTCACAGTTGGTGGCCTCTGCTGACCTTACCAGCGTACATTACCATCCTGACTCTCGAAATCAAACCACGGAACGGGTGGGGATGGAACCCATGGCTAGGTTACTACCACGACTGGGCGTCCATTACTCTTGACCAACCTCTGAATCACTAAAATTCTTCCTTAAAAAAATATGGCATGTAAATTGACTAGTGTAAACAACTCAATAGTGTTTTGATTATTTTCCGTCATGAATGATTTATAGGGTGTCCCGTGACTCGGTTGGTAGCACACTCAGCTCATACACTGAGGTCTGTGGTTCGATTCCCGGTACTGGTGGAAACACTGGAGGCGTGTTTCCTTAAGACACCTGCTGCCCCTGTGCACCTAGTGGTAAATAAGTACCTAGGAGTTAGTCGACTGGTGTTGGTCGCATCCTGGGGACAAAATTAACCTAATTTGCCCGAAATACTCTGCATAACAAGGGACTTTCTATGCAATATGTCACTGATGTCAGGTATGTCGGTATACGTTGTGCATATACTTACAGAAATTAAGATTATTTTTAATTATCATTATTATTATTATTAGGTGGCCTTCCCAAGCGGTGTGAGGAAGGTGCCCCCTTGTGGTCTACCTAACCTGGGTAACACCTGTTACATCAACGCTGTCATTCAGTGTTTGTTCCACATGAACACACTGAGAGACTACTTCGTCAAGGACACCTACAGGTGAGACAGGTTCATACAGCTGAGGATACCCAGGTGAGGAACATTTGTACTGTTGAGGACGATCCATACTGCATGTAAACAGCATCTTCTAAGAGCAGTGTTTGAATGTTGGTGAAGACATGTTGACCTAAGTGAGTTCATCGTCTCTTCTCACACTACCATGACCCCAAACACTCTACCATGACCCCAAACACTCTACCATGACCCCAAACACTCTACCATGACCCCAAACACTCTACCATGACCCCAAACACTCTACCATGACCCCAAACACTCTACCATGACCCCAAACACTCCACACACTCTACCATGACCCCAAACACTCCACACACTCTACCATGACCCCAAACACTCCACACACTCTACCATGACCCCAAACACTCCACACACTCTACCATGACCCCAAACACTCCACACACTCTACCATGACCCCAAACACTCCCAACACCACTCTACCATGACCCCAAACACTCCACACACTCTACCACGACCCCAAACACTCCACACACTACCACGACCCCAAACACTCCACACACTCTACCATGACCCCAAACACTCCACACACTCTACCATGACCCCAAACACTCCACACACTCTACCATGACCCCAAACACTCCACACACTCTACCATGACCCCAAAACACTCCACACACTCTACCATGACCCCAAACACTCCACACACTCTACCATGACCCCAAACACTCCACACACTCTACCATGACCCCAAACACTCCACACACTCTACCATGACCCCAAACACTCCACACACTCTACCATGACCCCAAACACTCCACACACTCTACCATGACCCCAAACACTCCACACACTCTACCATGACCCCAAACACTCCACACACTCTACCATGACCCCAAACACTCCACACACTCTACCATGACCCCAAACACTCCACACACTCTACCATGACCCCAAACACTCCACACACTCTACCATGACTCCAAACACTCCACACACTCTACCATGACCCCAAACACTCCACACACTCTACCATGACCCCAAACACTCCACACACTCTACCATGACCCCAAACACTCCACACACTCTACCATGACCCCAAACACTCCACACACTCTACCATGACCCAAACACTCCACACACTCTACCATGACTCCCAAACACTCCACACACTCTACCATGACCCCAAACACTCCACACACTCTACCATGACCACAAACACTCCACACACTCTACCATGACCACAAACACTCCATACACTCTACCATGACACCAAACACTAAACACACTCTACCATGACCCCACACACACTATCATGACACCAAACACTCCACACACTCTACCATGACACCAAACACTCCACACCTACCATGACACCAAACACTCCACACACTCTACCATGACCCCAAACACTCCACACTACCATGACACCAAACACTCCACACACTCTACCATGACACCAAACACTCCACACACTCTACCATGACACCAAACACTCCACACACACTACCAGACCCCAAACACTCCACACACACTCTACCATGACCCCAAACACTCCACACACTCCACCATGACCCCAAACACTCCACACACTTTACCATGACGCCAAAGACTCCACACACACTCTTCCCTCACAGGACACACTCCACACACACTTCCCCTCACAGGACACACTCCACACACACTCTTTCCCAACAGGACACACTCCAACACACACTCTTCCCTCACAGGACCACACTCCAACCAAACACTCTTCCCTCACAGGACACACTCCACACACACTCTTTCCTCACAGGACACACTCCACACACACTCTTCCCTCACAGGACACACTCCAACACACTCTTTCCTCACAGGACACACTCCATACACACTCTTCCCTCACAGGACACACTCCACACACACTCTTCCCTCACAGGACACACTCCACACACACTCTTCCCTCACAGGACACACTCCACACACACTCTTCCCTCACAGGACACACTCCACACACACTCTTCCCTCACAGGACACACTCCACACACACTCTTCCCTCACAGGACACACACGACACACACTCTTTCCTCACAGGACACACTCCATACCACCTTCCCTCACAGACACACTCCACACACACTCTTCCCTCACAGGACACACTCCACACACCCTCCCCTCACAGGACACACTCCGACACACTCCACACACACACTACCACACTGGCTAATAAAACCATGTTCACTACCAGGTTTGAGGTGAACAGGGAGAGTGAACAGCGCGGTGAGGTCGCCCACACAATGGGTGGCATCTTCAAGGCTCTGACGTCAGCTCGTCAAGAAGACGTCAATAACGCAGCTAAGGTTTTCAAGGTAACGTAACTCTTATGGGAAACTCATGCATAAGTAACAACGAGAAATTTAGTACTATTGTACCCGTTATTGGTGCTGTGGTAGTGGCGTATGATAACTTATTATTGGTGCTGTGGTAGAGGCGCATGATGACTCATTATTGGTGCTGTGGTAGTGGCGCATGATGACTCATTATTGGTGCTGTGGTAGAGGCGTATGATAACTTATTATTGGTGCTGTGGTAGTGGCGCATGATGACTCATTATTGGTGCTGTGGTAGTGGCGCATGATGACTCATTTATGTGCTGTGGTAAGGCGTAGATAACTTATTATTGGTGCTGTGGTAGTGGCGCATGATGACTCATTATTGGTGCTGTGGTAGTGGCGCATGATGACTCATTATTGGTGCTGTGGTAGTGGCGCATGATGACTCATTATTGGTGCTGTGGTAGTGGCGCATGATGACTCATTATTGGTGCTGTGGTAGAGGCGTATGATAACTTATTATTGGTGCTGTGGTAGTGCCGCATGATGACTCATTATTGGTGCTGTGGTAGTGGCGCATGATGACTAAATATTTGTGCTGGGGGAAGTGGCGCATGAGGGACTTTTATTGGTGCTGTGGTAGGGGGGATGTTGACTCTTTATTGGTGCTGTGGTAGGGGCGCATGATACTCATTTTTGCTGGGGTAGGGCGCATGATGACTAGAGGTGCTGTGTAAGGCGATGATAAACTCATTATGGTGCTGTGCTAGGGGCCGAAAGGATAAAACAATTTTATTGGGCTTTTTAAGGCCTTTGTTGATATTATTGGTGGGGTTGGTAGAGCGTGAAAAAACTATTATTGGTGCGGGGGGTTAGGGGCGCATGATAACTCTTTTAGGGGTGCTGGGGTTTAGAGGCGCATGAAAAATCATTTTGGTGCTGTGGTAGGGGGCGCATTTATTTCATTTTTGGTCCCTGTGGTAGGGGCGCATGATAATTTTTTTAAATTGGGTGCTTGTGGTAGAGGGTATGTTTAACTTTTTTGTGGTTCCCTGTGGTAGTGGCTTTTTAAATGACTCAAAATTGGGGGCTGGGGTAGGGGCCCGACAAATGCTCTTTATTGGTGCTGTGGTGGTGGGCATGTGACTATTATTGGTGCTGGGGTAGTGGCGCAGATGACTCATTATTGCTGGGGTTGGGTGGCGAAAGATGACTCTTTATTGGTGCTGGGGGTTAGAGCCATGATGATCATTATTGGTGCTGGGGTTTGGGCGAATAAAACTCATTATTGGTGCGTGGTAGAGGCTTTATGATAACTAATTTTTGGGTGCTGGGGTTTAGGGGGCGCATGAAACCATTATTTGGGGCTGTGGTAAGGCGCAGGGATGACTCTTTTTTGGTGCGTGGTAGTGGGCTGATGCTCATTTTGGTCCCTGTGGTAGAGGCACTTATGACCCATTATTGGGTGCGTGGTCGTGGCGTTTGTAACTCTTATTGGTCTGTGGTAGGGGGCGCTTGATGATAAAATTTTGGTGCTGGGTATTTGGCGAAATGAGGGCTCTTTTTTGGGGTGATTTTTGGTAGAGGGCATGATACTCTTTTTGGGTTTCGTGGAAAATCCCCATGAGACTCATTATTGGTGATGGGTAGAGGCGCAGGGATAAACCCCCTTATTGGCGCTGTGGAAAAGGCGCATGATAAATCATTTTTGGTTTGCTGGGGGAAAAGGCGCATAAAGATTTTCTTTATTGGCGCGGTTTTTTAAAAGGCGCATGATGCCCCCCCAATTTTTGGGTCCCTTGTAAAAAAGGCGCTGATGACCCCTTATTGGGGCTTTGGTAGTGGCGATGATGACTCATTTTTGGTGATGTGGTAAGGCGCATGATGACCATTATTGGCGCTGTGGAAAAAAGGGCCCAAAGATGACTCATTATTGGTGTGGGTAAAGGCGCAGGGGAAAAATCATTATTATCGCTGGGGTAAAGGCGCAAAAAAGATCATTTTTTGGCGCTGGGTAAAGGCGCGAGGGAATCTTTAAATGGGCTGGGGAAAAGGGCGCAGTGATCTTTATTGGGTTGTTTAGGGGCCCAAATGATGACCCCATTTTTTGGTTGCTGTGGTAGTGGCGCATAAGACTCTTTATTGGTGTTTTTGGTAGGGGGCCATGTTGACCATTTATTGGTGATGTGGAAAAGAGGGTATGTTACTCTTTAAAATGGCCCCTGGGTTTAAAGGGAAATTAGGACCAAAAAGGGTGCTGTGGTGGGGCTTTATGATTTTTTTAAATTGGTTTTGGTAGGGGGCGATGATGACTCTTTATTGGCGCTGTGGAAAAGGCCAGTTGACTCATTATTGGGTCGTGGTAGTGGCGCATGATGACCCATTTTTTTGGTTTGGGAAAGAGGGGCATGATGATTTCCTTTTTGGGTGCTGTGGAAAAGGCGCTTGTTGATCTTTATTGGTGAGTGGAAAGGGGGCCATGAGGGACTATTTTGGTGAGGGTGGTAGGGGGCGCTTGAGGGAACTCATTTTTTGTGCTGGGGAAAGGCCATAAATGACTAAATTATTGGGACTGTGGGAAAGGGGGATGATGATTTCATTATTGGTGCTGGGTGGCGATGATGACTCATTTTTGGTAATTGGTATGGCGAAAGGATGACTAAATTTTGGTGCTGGGGGAAAAAGGCGCATTTTTAAAATTAATTGGGTTTGCTGGGGGTTTCGGGCCCCAGAGCACCTTTATTGGTGCGGGTGGTAGTGGCGCATGTTTGACTCATTATTGTGCTGTGGAAGTGGCGCATGAGGGACTCTTTAAAGGGTGCTGTGGTGTGGCGCAAAAAGATTTCAAATTGGTGGTTGTAAAGGCGCTTGAGGATCATCAGGGGTGTTTGGGGTTTTAGAGGCGCATGAGACTCATTTTTGGTGCTGGGGGTGGGTGGGCATTGGGGACCAAATTGGTGCGGGGGTTTGAGGCGCAGGGATGCTCTTTAAATTGGTGGTGGTAGGGCGTATAAATGACTCATTTTTGGTGCGTGGTAAGTGGCGCTTGATGACTCTTTAAATTTGGTGCTGGGGGAAGAGGCGATGATAAACTCATTTTTTGGTGGGTGGGGGAAGTGGCCCCGGGAAGACTAAATTTTTGGGTGCGGTGGTAAGGGCGCATGATGACTCATTATGGGTGCGGGGGTAGTGGGTTTAGTTTTTTTAAATTGGGGGCTGTGGTAGAGGCGAAAGATGACTATTTTTGGGCCCGCTGTGGGTAGTGGGAATAAAACTCATTAGGGGGGTTGGGGTTTGGGGCGAAAGGGACTATTATTGGGGGCTGGGGGTAGGGGGAATGATGTCTTTAAAATTGGTGCTGGGGGGAAAGGCGAAATGTGTCCTTTTTTGGTCCCTGTGGTAGAGGGCGCATGATGACTAAATTTTTGGTGCTTTTGGTGGGGGCCCGTATGTTAACTCTTTTTGGTGTGGGGTTAGTGGCGCATGGTAACTCATTTTGGGTTTGTTTGGGGTAGAGGCCCATGTTTAATTTCATTTAAGGGGGTGCTTTGGGTTTGGGCGTTTTGTTAACTCATTATTGGTGCTGTGGTAGGGCCCCATGGAAAACTATTTTTTGGGGGTGCTTTGGTAGAGGGGGATGGAAAACTTTTTTGGGTTTTTTGGGTAGAGGGCAGGATAACTAAATTTTTGGGTTGCTGTGGTAGTGGCGCATGAAAACTCATTTTTGGTGCTGTGGAAGTGGCGCATGAAAAACCATTTTTGGGTGCTGTGGAAAGTGGCGCTGAAAAATCATTTTTGGGTTTCTGGGTTAGAGGGCCATGTTAACTAAATTTTTGGGCACTGGGTTAGTGGGATAATCTTTTATTTGCGCTGGGGTAAGGCGAGATATCTCATTATTGGGGGCTGGGGAGGGGGGCCCCTTAATAAACACGGCGCTACTGGTGTTTTATAAAGAGGCGCAAAAATTTCGAAATGGTTTTTTAAAATTTCCCGTGGAAATTCGGGGAGGCGAGCCCTTCTGTTTAATACACAACGGGGACGAGCCTTAACCCAGCCCTTTTGCACCAAAGGACCCCACGATTTTATTGTTTTGAATAAAAAAATTATAAAATAAATAAAAATTTGAAACTAGTAGTAGTAGTAGTAGTAGTGGTATTGTAGGGGTTTGTAGTATCATTTTGTTTTTGGTAACATGGGCACTTAAAATTGAGTCAGGAGAAACGCGGGTGTTCTCTAATGTTTAAAAAATTCGACGGGATTTTTTAAAACCCCCGGGTTTAAACCCAGCAGCTGTCAACACCTGGGTTAACCGGGAGTTTGGTCAACACCTGGGTTAACCAGCAGCGTAAAACCCTTTGGGTTAACCACCCACTGCAACCCCGGGGGTTTAAACCCAGCAGCTTCAACCCCTTTGGGTTTAAACCCAAAGCGGGTTTGTAAAACCCTTTTTTAAACCCAAGTTTGTCAACCCCAGGTTTAAACCAGCAGCGGGTCAAAAACCAGTTTTAACCCAGCAGCTGTCAACACCCGGGGGTTTAAAACCAGGCTGTAAAACCCGGGGTTTAAAACCGGCAGCTTTTAAACCCACCGGGTTTAAACCCAGCAGTTGTCATCCCCTTTTGGGGAAACCAGCAGCTGTAAAACCCCCCTATTTTAACCACAGCTGTCAGCACCGGGGGCAAAACCAGCATTTTGTCAACCCTGGGTTAACCGGCAGCTGTAAACACCGGGTTTTTAAAAAACCCAGCAGCTGTCACACCGGGTTTAAACGAGCAGCTGTCAACCCCTGGGAAAAACCACCAGCGCAGCCCCCTGGGAAAACCACCTCTGTAAAACCCCGGGGGTTTTAAGCAGAAAGTTGTCAGCACCGGGGGTTAAACTAGCAGTTTGCCCAGCACCGGGGTTTAAACCCGAAGCGTCAGCCCCGGGGTTAAACCGCGCTGTAAACACCGGGGGAAAAACCGGGCAGTTTGTAAACCCCTGGGTTAACCGCAGCTGTCGCACCAGGGTTAACCAGCGCTGTCAACCCCGGGGGT